GCTACTGTTGGTTGCACATCTGATTTGCCTTTTTGCTTATCATCTTCTTGTTGCACATCTGATTTGCCTTTTTGCTTATCATCTTCTTGTTGCACATCTGATTTGCCTTTTTGGTTATCAGCTCCTTGTTGCACATGATATGCTTTGCCTTTTTGCTTATCAGCTACTGTTGGTTGCACATCTGCTTTGCCTTTTTGCTTATCAGCTACTTTTGGTTGCACAGCTGCTTTGCCTTTTTGCTTATCAGCTACTTTTGGTTGCACAACTGTTTTGCCTTTTTGCTTATCAGCTACTTTTGGTTGCACAGCTGCTTTGCCTTTTTTCTTATTGTTGTAGAAAATTATTTTTACCGAGTACCAAATATAAAGATTCGATCCCTGGGTCAATCTCTCGAGGAAGGCGGTTCGGAACTTAGAATTAGTGTTGATAGCACACAAAAAGAAAATAAATCCTAAATATTCTAACAAAGATGAGGGGAATGAATTATCAACTAAGAAACAAAATAAAATGCATAAAATATAAATTTACCTAAAACATGAAATAAACCTCAATGAAGAAGCTAGGAATCAGGGATATCCGTTATGGCTCAAAATACGATTATCGAGCAAGTGATCATTGAGTTAAGAGAATTTGATAAACTACTCGTTCAGAGATTGTCCTCACTAACTCTTCGTAACAAGAGGATTAATATGAACGGTAAATCAATAAGTCCTTTTAAACACATTGGCAATACCATTACGAACAAGCCAATTTCATGTGGCCTAGGTCTATCGACTCCTCCTCTTTCGATTCCAGAAGTCGATTAAATAGCTTAATGGTTTTTGATCAATCAAGCAATAGATTCCATGAAATCATTCAAGAGCAAATCCAACCCAATCGATGAACAATTGTAAATTGAAGTGTCACTACTTCAATGATTTTCAAAATTTTAAAACAATTTTACAAAACCCTAGTCAAGATCAACCCACAGAATAGAATAATCAACAAGCACAATAATCGTAATTGAGATCAAAACATTAATCCCCTATCCCTAGCATGAAGATTTAGCTACTCATAATCAAGTTATAACAAACAATTTCAAATTCTCAAGCATTCATATTCAAAAATAATTGAAAATAAAAGCTTATGAATTAATAGATATCAAGAGTCAAATCTGAATTACAGGGTTGCATCCAAATCCAATGCTAAATCCCAGCTCAAAATTGAGTTCTATGGTAAAAATTATGTAGAAGATGAGAAAAGAGGTGAAAAAGATGAAGAAAAAAGGGGGAAAACCCCCAAAATCCGAAACTGGCTGAAAAATGAGGTGTTGGGCGTGTTTTAGGCCCGCGACCCGCGGCTGCAGTGCGCGTCTTCACGGTTTTACTTCGTTTGAGCTCGTTCGAACTCGGAATTGAGTTCCGTTTTTTCCTACACGTAGCCAACGAACCTCTATATCTAATGATGTAAACTTCCCCAAAAAATTCTCAGAAACCTGTTCTCCCAAAGCTCCCGACCTACACACCAAAAACGAAAACACAAACGGAAGACTACCGGAATAAACATAAAAATTACCAGGGCACTCAAGACAACACAAAACACACAATAAACGATAAAATGAACCTAAAACCAACT